TTCGGTGCATATTTATGTAGCACCATCTCTTTGGTCAGATGGGGTGTCCTGGAATGATTCTGGTGTTAAAATCATCCAATTTTGGTGCATTTCAGTCCCCAAACAGGTGGATCCAGTGGCTGTGTGACCCAAATCCACCCAGGTTTAGCTTTACTGAGGTTCTGGATCAGCCCTAAAGAGAAGTTCCCTGCAGAAGGAAAAGCACCTTTTCCTCTCTTTGTGATTTATCGAACTTTCAGGCACAGGTTGAGACCAAACCAGTCAAATATCACCTGTAATGGTGAAATTCCATTCATACAAATGTTAATAAATTAAAATAACGAGTTTAGGCTGTGGGTAAGGGAGATGACCAGGCAGGGATGGGGGCATTCCACGTATCCCACCCCGTGTTGTTCGATGAGTCCCCTCCTTGTAGGGATTGTGCATTGCTGGAGCCCAGGACAGGAGGAGCAGGAGGCTCTGGAGAGTGGATTAACCTCCTGTCATTGACATGCACGGAAAGCAAAGTGTCTGGGGTGTGAGGATCCACTGGGAAGTTTGGCTGGAGACGTGGGGTACCCACGTTTTGGAGCAGGGAAATGCTGGGAATCATTTCTGCCCTAGGCCTGGGATGGCCTGGGCCTTATCTCCAGCTGTGCCTGGGGAACGAAACCGGCTCCCAGCACAAGCCCAGGGCCCTGAGTCATCCCAGGATCCGGGAACCAGGGCTGCAGGGAAGCACCGGAGGCTGAGGATGAGGTTTGGGGTTGGGAAAGCTGGGCTGGTTCCAGCGGCAAGGGGAGGTTGTTCTGAATTTGGGGTGTGATGGGATCCAACCTCCGTCAGGGTCTTGTCCCACCATCGCCTGTGTTAACTCATTCCCTGCCCTGGGAGTTTGCTGTGCATTTTTCCATCTTTCTCTCTTCCTCCTAAATCCTCTCCTGGTGGAAAGAACACGATCCAGTGGCATAGCAAGGTTGGCGTAACGGGATGTGACATTCATCATAAAAAAAGGGACTTGCAGGGTGGGGGCTGACAGGCTCCTTGGGGCACAAAACCCTGGCTTGATGGTGATGGGAAGAGCAAGAGTGGGCTGGAGCCGTGCCAGGAGGGAGAGGGTCAGCGTGGCGTGGGCGAGCAGGAGCGGTTTGGGAGCATCCCATGCCCCAAATTCGGCACCGGGATCGGTGTGGAAGCCAGCTGACAGGAAAACGGGCAGCTGAGCTGGGGAATGCCGGAGCCTGGGAGTGCTGGGAGCTGCCCAGGCCCTGCCCTGCTCCCTCATGGCCTCCCTTCCCTGCACGCAGGGATAATTGGAGGGAGAGTTTCTCTTGGAGCGGGTTTTTTTTCTCGCATGCTTTTTTGTTGGAAAGCAGGACGAGCCGGAATGTTGCTGGGAGCTGGGGTAGGAGCGGTGCTCACCGCTGGTGCTGGCTTTGGTGGGGAGGAGGAAACCCCAAAACGTTCACCTTGCTCTGCAAGGACACGGTGGAACAGATCCATATCCACCTGCAATTAGCATCCCGTTCCTTCATTCCCTGTCCCAACCTCTGCTCCACTCTGATCGAGGGAGGCTGGACTGCCATCCCGGCAGCTCTGCCCTTCCCGGGATGCTCCCCTGAGCTCCCCAAGAGCCAATTCCTACATCCTGACCTTGCTATAAGGATCACAGAGAGAGAGAGGAGAACAAATCTGGGCTCCCAGCTGTGCCAGCTTTGAAAGCACTTGCCCCGGTCGAGCTGTAAGAGGCAGCACAGGAGGAGCCCTGGTTGTTTGGGGATTAACTTCCCCGCTCGGAAAATTGCTGGTTAATGGTTCCAGCACGATCCCGGGGCCGGCACCTCGGCTGCTTCCCTGCGGGATGCAGCCCCCGTCCCCCGGCTGTGCTCCCCCCTGGTGTCCCCGGGGTCCGCGGGGTCGGGTTGGGACGCGCTCCCGGCGAGGCAGCAGCAGCCCAGCCCCGCTCCGCTGCACTTCCCTGGGTCCCATCCGTCATCTGTTTGTCCTGGTCCCCTGCCAGCGATTGTGCCGATTCCCACACCCACTTTCCATAACCCTCCGTCCTCGCCCGGGCGAATCGCTGGCGAGCTCGCCACCCATCCCTTTCCCCTCCTCTCCGATGGGATCAGACACGTTCTGGAGAGGGGGGAAGAGAGGAAAGAGGGGGGAAAAGGGAGAGAAAAAAAAAAAAAAAAGATCAAGAGGAAAACAAAATGTGACTCAGTGCCTTTAATTTATTTGTATTTATTTATTTACTCCCCACGCTGCAACGTGCGGGAGGCAACACTGAGTGCTGGCTGTGATCTTCCAGGGAGCCTTGGTCGTTGTCTGAGGCATCAGGAATTTGGGCGAGGGGGGAGAAATAATTTTCTCCACTCTTTTGGCCAAGGAAAAGATCTCAGAGAGGAGCTGCTGGCACACAGAAAACTGTGTGGCACAGATTTTTCGGGCTGCCCAGGTCTCTGCGTGAGCATCCCCTGCCCCGCCAGCACTCGACACCACACGGCACAGACCGGAGGGTGGAAATATCTAATTCCATCTCCTACACTGTGTCCTCGGCAGGGGAAAGAGAGAAAGAGGAGATAAAAGGCTGGGAAGCTCAAATGGTGTCATTAGGAACTATTAATGCCCTCATAAAAGGGCATTAATAAACACGGCAGCTCATCAGCGTCCATTAGCTCCGCTCGTGGCAGGGATCTTCGGGAGCTGCCAGAGTGTGATGCTCCCCTCGCCCTCACCAAAGGGGAAAAGGCCTGGAGGGGGGTTATTCCTCGTGAAAACCATTCCCTCCACAGAAAAAAAAAAAAAAATAATCAGGGAGGAAAAGCTCACAGGAGCAAGCAGGGCTTTACACCTTCAATCCTTCCGTGCCCAGAGCTTGCTCCTTGCTCCCAGGGTAGCTGTTTACTACGAAAGAAAAAAAAAAAAAAAA